ACGACGATCCGCCGCTATCGGAAACCACGGCCGTTACTCGACTCCGTAGAAAAAACCTAGCCTAAACCACACATCACCACGAATATCGACTTTTAATCACCTGTCGCATGTTACTTTTAAATCGCAGCCTCGGTGAAGAGGTGGTAAATGATCGACGAAGTTTTGCGTTTTATATTTCGCTTGTACAAGCCGAGTAAAGACCGGAACAAGATTCAGCCGTATATCTACTAGCTCTTCCTCCAATCTCCCGCATCTACCATTCCAAACAGTAGAAGAAAATTAGCCCGTAGGACATTTATTCTTTATATCAATGTTTACTGTAGCTAGTCTTGATTAAAAAAGTGCAAGTATCTGGTGATGGATGACGTAAAACACAAGTGTACTAAAAAACTTCCTAGAAATAAAAATTAAAGCGCTATAATAGTATTTAAGTTTACTAAATGCGTAGCGGATATTTATACCAATAGAATATCTTGAAATGTTAAAAATTAGAAATTGCGCAAAAATATTTTCCTCACATATAGCTTACTAATACTCACGTTTCAACGAGATAAGGCTATATTATAATTGCAATTGGCTTGATCCTGAGCAATTTTGATGCAGGTCGAGTTTATTCGATGTGACTGATGATTTTATCTTCGTCATTACAGTTGTGGCCAATATATAATTAGCACTGAATATGAAGGCACGATTAGTGCACCTGAATGTGCGAATATGTCACAATTTGATTCCATTTTTCTGATAAAATGACATGCTAATGAACACAACTGCAGGATTTTATTCGCATTTCTCTCTGACTACATTTGATTTTTTGTTTTGCGTCCATCTCTTGATTACCAACTGGAAACCTTCCCATATAACATCAGTTATCTTATTAGAAAACATTCATTCTTCGCTTTGTATTCCTGTTTTAAAAGCGTTGCCTGTTCTAAAATACAGTGCATGCCGTCCGAAGAAGTTTCAAATGAAGCGTCGAATTGGTCTGAAATGGTTTATTGAACAAATACCTGTTTATCCATGCATTTAATTTACAATCGGTCCGTCGGCTTCAATGATCTTTACTTCTTTGGCGGAGACAAACCGCCTGACCGTGCTTCTAACGTTTCTGATCCCGTATAAACGTTTCAGCTTCGGCACAAGATACCTAAGTCTGGATCATGATCATGCACTTACTTAACCCTATTCATTCCGACCCGCAATCTACGGCCGGACGGTTTGGCAAGTCGCAGCTGATTCATCATCCCTTCTCTAAGCATTCGCGGAAACGGATTTGTAGGCATGTGCAGGTCATGGCAAGCATAACGTCTCCATCGGAACAAGCGGCGGTTGTACACTCAGACTTCGGTACTCCATACTGTTTTGTGATGCGTGATCCCCGTGATTCGTTTCAGAAATCCTATTTCAGGTGCTTCTACCGGGGATCGAAATTTTTCAGTGATGATCCACGACTTGTGACCTATGTGAATCACGGGATGAAGATCTGCATGAAACAGCAAGTATAGTTTTCAGCATCCGCTCTGTTTTGGTCATAACGGTTCGGTTTACGCAGGATGCCGCTGGCCATTGCAATTAACCGATCGATCTCTTCTTGCCATTTTTCATCACCGGTAAGCGCGATCCCGCGGCACATGAACTTCTCCAACTGTTCAATTACTTTCCCGTTTATCTTCAGAGCTCAACCGCAGGAAACGAGAAATCTCCACAGCTTTGTATTTAACACTTTCGCATGGCACGTAGCCCTCCACTGAACGCTGGAGTTAAGTTTCTGAAGATGGGAACAAAATGAGGTTATCTGCAAACTGCAGCGTTGTCGTCTCAGCATCGCTTATGCTGATACGCTTTTCTCCCCAGCTGCGCCTGACAGTTATATCCATGTATAATGTATTATGGAGAGAGGATAAAATGCAGCCTTTGGCGGAGACCAGTCCCAACAATGAAAAATATCGATTTAACGTCATTTAGTCTGACGCAGCACCTGTTTTCAATGTGTTGTGACTGCATGGCTCGTAATAACTGGACACCGATCCCATATGTTGGTTGGCTTGATCCTAGCTTGTAATGCGGAAATCAGTCATATCCTTCTACAAAGCACGTGTGAACCAGATGAGCACACTCTCAGGAATTCTCTACATTTGGGGTCATGGCGAAGATTTGGTCAGACCGGCTTAAGGCTGACCTGAAACCATACTACGCTTCTTGTATCTTAGAGTCGCCTAGACGGGTGCGATCTATTTGCAAGTCCTTAGGTCGCTTGTTGAACCAGGTGTTGCCAGTGAACATAGGTTTTCTCTTAGGAACGATTAACGAACAACCGATTTCCGCGTTCATTTCACTCTCAGTTGCCTACCTAATGACGAAATTATCATCGGCCGTTTTTGTCTGACTTTAGCGTTGAAATCTCCTATAAAAAGGGTACAGTGGACTTTGGATCTCTTCCTCCTTACTTCAGGCAGGCTTTAAACATATTCAATTTCCTCTTCTTATTTAGTTGGAGGTACAGCACCTTCAGTGTTGGTGACTGGCATATTACGAAACGATTTAGAGAACCAGCATTTGCTTACTATAATTCCGATTCCTTTCGTGTTCTTTACGCCCTCATGTTTTTTAGTCAAATTAAACCACCTCTTTCCAGATTCCATTCATCGCCTTCCACTATGATATGTTCCAGAGGCCAATGATGCCATTATTACCTATTCTAGATTAGTTGTCTCCAAAATGTTTTCCTTCATCAACATTCTATAGCCGTAAGTGGAAATATAAAGAGAAGAAAAGATCCGTTTACCAGAGACGGACCTTTCATTTGGAATTTTTAGCAGCCCATCGTCAGTCTAACACCGAACCATCGCAATGGAACGGGTCGAGAGAGGTGCACGGTGCAGAGGTCCATTCATTCGTATTGTTATAGCACATTATAATTTTAAAATAGCTAGCCTGGCTGACGACATTTAGTATTTTCATACAGACGATCCCCGCATTTCTTTTGATCTTTCATCGAACTTGTCTTTTTCAGCCATTGAAGAACTGACGTCTAACCGCGGGGCAGCGATTACATTGGCGGCTATTATTATTTTCACAGAAACGTTTCGTTGTTGCCACGAGATCAGACTGATGTTGGCCATTGTAACTTTTCTCCGAGGATCGAAGTTGTCGAGCTGGAACTCAGTTACACCCTATGGTCTCGCCGCTGCCAGAGCGCAACTGGTTATTTGTCGTAACTGACCTCCAAGTCTGGAGGTCATTTCTCCATTAACATCCAGAGGACGCAGTAGACGACCGGCAACTAGCCATATTATGTGTTATGCAATGAACTTAATGAGCGTTGAATGTTCCGTCTGAGGCAAGGTTGGTAACGATTTTGCGTCTGACTGCAGGAATGGTCACACTTGATGATGTGGTACGATAAATCCCCTTCGACATTTATGTAACGAATCATATTAGTGCCAATGTCATGGCCTAGATGTTGGACTGTGAGAAATGAGGTGATGCTCGACTATGCAAGGGCAAATCTGCTTCAAAATAAGCAAAAGGAAAATCGCGCACGAAGGTTCGAATCAAATGACAAGTCGCAACGACTCAACTATTAAATTCTTTCTATTTGTATTTAATTTATTAGCAAATTGAAGCTCAAAACTATGATAGATGAACATAGGACGCATCTTAATAGAGTTTACAAGTGCTTTTCATAAGCGAATAGCACTGATCATATTGTTTACAGTATGATCGACAAGGAATGGATATTTAATTTAATGCAAATCATATGTTTCGATTGACAAGATGTCAGTCAGACTCTCTGACTTTCAGTAACACAGAAGCATGTACATTTTTTACGACTAATGCCCATAAAAATGAGGAAGAAAAATTTTCTGCAA